TCGATTAATACGAGCTTCTACTGTGCACTGAAGCTCACCAGCGAATCGTCCAAGGGAAGCAGACTCGGTGTGAGGACTGAGCGAGGTGTCCTATCTCTACCAAAGTCCCCACGTTAAATAAAGAGGGCATTCATTTCGCTTCTGTTGTAATTTCGATTCATTACTTTGTAATAAGCTGTTCTTATCAATACAAACGAAATCCTCATTTCGGGAAAAAAAAATTTACACCCACAGAAGATGGCGACCATAGTGGGAGAAACTATTTCCTCAACCGAAATGGTGGTGGTGCAGTTCGACGAGGTTACTGTTTGGACAACCGTGGAGTCCCTCGAAATTGAGTTCAACCAAGCTAAGTACGAAGAATACTTGTCTACCTCCTCCTCTGGTGGTAATGCGTGTTGAAAACTCTACAAAGTCGTGCACAAGAGCCGACCTCAAACGGTCCAAACCTCCACGCCTGAGGGCTCTACCCGTGTCATGGCAGGGGAACCTATTCCCCGCAAATCAACCAAGTCCGAGCTGAAGGCCAAAAACATGGGGCGAAAGACCGCCAAGTGGGTCGCCAAACAACCCTCACAGGCCCTAGCTCGGGAAGAGATGGTGGTTCACCTTGGCGTAGACCACACTGTCATAGTCCGCACGGACGACCCTTTCTCTAGAAGAGCCTGTCAGTGACGACGACAAGCCCTCGCCCAGCAAGAGGCCCAAACCTTTGCCTCATATGACGGCTTGAATTATTATTCAGGTCTGAAAAGTGCAAGGCAGAGAAGCAACCCTCCCAACACTGGTGGGCTCGCCAAATCAGGCGAACCCTTGCGTTCAGGCGAACCCTCGCTCTGATCGTAATATCCCCTATTTCGGTGGGTCCGGTATTTCTGACAAGCTTGGTCTCCAGGCAAACCAATCAAAACGGGCAATCCTTCCCACTCAAGTGGACTTCGTTTCTCAGGTCACATCCCTAATGCAAATATACTGCCCATATCAGGCGACCCTGCTCGAGCAGGCGAGCCCTCGGAATCAGGCGAGCCTCATCGAGTCCACTCGATGGGTAAGCGTTGCGAGTGAACGCGCCTTAACAAGAAAGGCAAAATAGTAGGTGAAACCTCCCAAACTCGCCTGCATGAACAAAGGGTCGAAGTTTGCCTGCAGGAAGGAACTCGCCCAAGCACGATGACTCGCCTGTCAAGGCAAACTCGCCTAACTCCAACACTTAACCATTCCACCCAGTGTACGCAATGTTCGCGGGGAAAACTGTTTTCTTCATTGAAATAATTGTCATCTTGGATTACAAAAATCCGGTCTTTTATCGATCCGGTTACAACTAAATCAAAGAAAAAAAATAAAAATTACAACTTTCCTTCTGTGAACAAATCGCGAGCTCCTGTTTTGTGGTCGCTCGTTTTGGTGGGTTCTTTGCCAACGCCGGGGTTAATCCGTGGACCACCGCGCGATCTAGATCCGGTCGGATCTACACGATTATACGGGTATTATTCCACGAAGGGAATAATAGCCGGGAGGGATTAGTCCACCAAGGGAATAATCGCTCGGATCTCGAGATCTAAGACCAAGCTTAGATCTGGAGTGTGATCTCGTGTAGATCTCAGATCTGTTCTTTCTTCCTCTCGAAATCCTGCCTTTTCTGACGTGGATGCTCGCCGAGGATCAGATCCGAATGTGCAAGTCTTCAAGTCTTCAAAGCTCCGAGTTCACTCTTCAATCCGCCAGAGTTTCGGCTCTTAAAAGTTCCCCTCTTGAAATGAAGAACCCCTTAGCCTATTTATAGGCTCTCGTCACTGTGCCCGTGCCCG